GGGAGTGGTGGGGTTGTGCGCACCGCTGGTGCGTGGGGCTCCGTGCTGGGAACTGCAGCGTGAAGGCATGGCAGATGCCTGCCTGAAACAGCAAGTGCCTCCAGGGCAATCAGGGCTGACCTCGGGGGCCGCTGTGCTAGCGGCACGGCTGAGGGCACCACAGCTGGGTGCTGCTGCGCGTTACATCTGTCCCTGCTGCCCACTGGGGCCAGGAGATGGTGCCCCGCTTCAGGAGGGGGCTGGGGATGTGTCTGTGGGGCCACGGCCACCCCATTCACCCAGGGGAGAGCCCAGTGCCAGGTGCTGTTGGGTGGTGTTGTCTTTCCCTGGCGCTGCAGCCCCTCCAGAACAGAGCGACTGCCTGCTCAAGGGAAGCCCACAGGGCTGGGAGTTTCCCAGGGCCCAGGCCATGTTGCAGGTAGAGGTTTGGCTCAGAGAGATCAGGGAGTACTGCTGGAGTTGCGTGTTCTGCCCTTCGTATCCTGCTCCCTGTACTTGCTAAGGCGTGTTCGTGTTGGGTTGCTGCTAGGGTCAGTGGTGACTCCCACTGTTTTTGATATGGGACCAGATCTATAGAGCTCTTGTCAAAGAGCAAGTGCCAGTGCTGGTGGGTCCCTGCGTGACTGGAACCATTGTGCTTACCTGGTGCTGCCTGGCCTCAGGCCCTGGCTGCCGCAGCGAGGGGTGGGTGCCACCCAGGTGGAGCGTCCTGCCTACAGCTGCAGGGCAATCAGGACTGCTGGGTCCGCTCTCTGCCTTTGCCTCTGCCGTTAGTTGACTGTGAGTTGTTTCTCTTCCCAAGCTGTAGTTTCCCTGCTCTGGAGCAGGCTCTGGAGCAGGAGCCATGGTCACTGTTTGAGGGCTGTTCTGAGCTACAACCTGAGGGCAGGTGCAGAGACCACTAGATATGAGCTATACGGTACAGCTTTCGCTGTGTAGCCATTTCACATGACAGCATGGTGGAGGAATGTGGTTGGAGGCTGTGTCCTCTGCATGCACGTTTCATCCATGCTGGAGCCCTTTCCTGTGGTGTCCAGTTCTTCTAGGTGTTGTTTCCCTGTCAGGCAGCAGGGAGCTAACGGAGCGTAAGGGCTCGGAGCGTAAGGGCTCGGCTCGGAGGTGTGCTCAGGTGCCTGGCGCTGCCTGCACTGGAATGTGCTCCGACCGGTCTGTGCACAGCACTCCCGAGAGAGCCCGTGGTTCCAGCAAGGTTTGTTCCTGGCTCGTGGCCCCCTCTGCCTGGGTTCTGCCCCCACCTCGTGGATGGGCTCTTTGCTGCCCAACCACTGCTCACTCCTCTGATGCGCAGCCCTGCCTGACTGTGGACGTGGCTCTTGGCTCTGTTTTCCTAGGCTCTGGGCCAGCAGCTGCTGTGCTGTGAGGTCCTGGTTGCCCTGGGGCAGCCAGACTCTGCCTCCCAAGCCCGGGGACAGGACTGGCTGCAAAAGAGTGGTGAGGGGAAGGGAAAGCACTGTCCTGTTTCTGAAATGTGAGAGTCGTGGACTGATGGAAGGGCAGAGGAAATGCTCCAAAACCCAATACACAATGGGCTGGTGGAATTGAATGCTACTGCTCCCGGATGCTGAGCGGGATCTGGGACTGTCTTCTGCAAGGCACACAGCCTTCTTCGGGAGCTTTTCTAGGAGCAGAGGAACTGCTGGCAGGGCCAGGGTGGCATGTTTGGAGGGGCCGCTGTCTTGGAGGAGCGCCTGCGCTCAGATAGGCACTAGCTGCTGTGGTGGGACCTGGGTGGACCCTGGGGACTGCTCAGTGTGCGCAGTTTCTAGTCCTGCTGTGAGTGTAACAGGGAACTGCTGCCTGGTGTCTGCTAGCTGCTGTTCAGTGCCGTGCAGCTCGGCCTTGTCTTTTGCCCTGCTGGATCCTGGGCTGAGAAGCCCCAGTGTTTTCCTATGTTGAAACCCCAGGACCCCTGTCCACCTGAGGGGTGGTGGCCATCTCTGCCTGTTCCCGGGGTTCCTCCAGCTGCCAGCAGAGCATCTGTGTCCTTGCAGGCCCTGACGATGTCGGACGGGATCATGAGCAAGGCTGCCACCATGGAGATCCCCATCAGCAGCAACGGGGACACGGGCAGCCTGCCGGAGGATGACGGCTTGGAGCAGGTTTGCGGCTGGGGCCCATCAGCAGGGGTCAGGACAGTGACATGCTAGACAGCCCAGATGTTGCTCTTCTGGCTGCTGTGGGGCAGACAGGGCCTTAGCACTCTCCCAGCTCTGACCCAGTCTTTCCATTGGGTCTGTGTTTCTCTCTGAGGCTAAATGCCCTGTTTCTGTCCCAGCTCTGTGCACTCCTCTGTTCTAGGACTTGCAGCAGGTGATGGTGTCAGGGCCCAACCTCAATGAAACCAGCATTGTGTCTGGCGGCTATGGGGGCACTGCTGAAGGCATCATCCCCACCAGCGCCATCAAAGGTAGGTTGAGCCTCAACTCAGGTCTGCATAGATGGGGCTTGGGGAGCAGGGGAAAGATGAGTACTGCTCCCCAGTTGGCAGAGGAGGTAGAAGGGAATGTCTCCTCTGTGGGAGAGGAGAGCACAACTGCCCTTGGAGCTGTCCTCTCCTTCCCTATTGGGCTCCAGGAGCCTGCTGGGGAGGGAGGTGCTGCTTAAGCCTAAGGGAATCCTTCCCTGTGGGCCTCGGGAGCCTGGTCCCCAGCCCTGGGTGCAGCCCCATTGGCGGTGCTGGGTGGGGGAGCTGGCCCTCAGTGGTGCCTAGCAGAGGACCCCGTGCAAGGGTGCGTGGGTAGAAGCTCTGCTTCAAGCACAGCCACATCTGTCCTGGGCTGCTGCGTGGGCTCGGTGGAGTGTGTCCCCCTCTCCACAGCCCTGATGTGCGGTTCTGTCTAGGCCCAGCTGTTCGGTATAATGCCTCCTTCCCTGGACTGTTGCTCCTCCCGGCACAAGGTGGCTCCTTCCCCTTTTTGCGCGGTGGGCATGGGGCTTCCCTGATGGGCTGGTGCAGGTACCTGCACCCTAGCACAGCTGTGCTCCTCTGAGTGGGTTACGGGAGTGTCCCTGATAGAGCCTATCTGCCAGGGAGCGGAGGGGCTGCCACCCCACTAACTGCATTCTTCTGGCTGCTTCACACACGTGGTAGCTGATAGGGGAGGCTGCAGAGCTGCTGTGGGAGGGCCTGGGCCACTGACACTCCTGGCTGTCTTACAGGTGTGGGGCCTCCAGCTGAGGAGGGTCTGACCCCAGTCAGAGAGGGACACCTGCCTGGGTGGGTGGCACTGGGGCAATGGGTTGCAGCTTGGAGAATGTGGGCTTTGCACTGGGCTGAGGCAGGTTGTTGGGCTCTTGGGTTGTTCCCTCTGGTGTGAGTGGAGTGGGGGCAGTTCTGATATCCCACCACTTCTCCAGGTCCTGGGTGAGTGGGGAGGTCAGGAGATGGGCCGGTGCTGGCTTAGGCTCACACCAGTTCTGCCATAATGACTAGCATAATGACCTGCAGAGGGAGGACAGGGCCAGGTAACCGTGGGCCCCAAGCTCCTCACTTATTTCTTCTTTCTGCTCAAACCAGTCCCAGGGTTGTGGATGCTCCTGACTGCAGGGCATGGCTGCAAGCGTTTCACCCTTCCCAGGAGTGGTGTCCATGGACAAGCCCCATGGCTCAGGCAGGGCCTTGCTGGTTCCTAAGCCCTCTGGGAAGCTCTGCCACAGGCACAGAGGACAGTGATTGCCCAGTGGGTCTGCAACAAGCACCGGTGGTGCTGTGCCGAGCCAGACTGAGATAGTCAAGGCACTCTGGGAGAGCCGCGTCTCTCACCCTGTCTCCCCTGTGGTCCCATTTCAAACAAGTCTCTGTGTCTGAGCTCTTGGCCAAAGCAGGTCTTCCACAGCAAATCAGCCTGTTTGACTTCAGGCTGTTCTGTGCTGTGCTGGGCTTGAACAAGTGAATTTGCACAGGTGCAGGGGGCATGCATTTGCTCAGTCTACTGTGCTGAAGAGCGGCACAAGTGGATGGGAGAACAAGGTGTGTTCAGTGGTCGCCATCCCTGTGTCTTCACCGCTCCTGGCCTGAACTGCTCCCACTCCCGTCTCAGTGCTCTTGCTGGCTGGCCTGGCGATCCTAGCTGGGCTGATGGGACTGGGAGGGAGCAAGGAGAGGGACCTGGGTGGCATTGAGCTTCTGGTGTGGGAGCTGTCTGTCTGGTAGCCCGGCTGTGTCATCTGATTTCACATCACACTTTCATCTCTCATCTGCTCCCATTGCTCTTCCCTGCTGCCATCCTGCCTGAACACTCATCCTCTGCTGTTCCTGCTCCTTGTGCCATTCCTACCACCCCATCTCCTCTTGCCTCTCTCTGCTCAACACCTGCCAGTCCCTCCATTTCCAGGCTGTCTTGTCAAACCTCACTCACCCCGAGGACCATTCGTCTCCCCCAGTGCATCTGCCGCCAGCAGGATGGCCAACCAGGCCAGTGCTTCAGCAGGTACTGCGGCTGCCCCGGCCCCCTTGCTGATGCTCCATGGCCTCTTGAGACCTCTCTGCCTTGGACTTGGGCTCTATGGCCCTGGTTTATGGTGCCTGGTTTGTATTGGGGCTCCTCGGACCACCTATGCTTGCTGTGACCTGGCTGCAGCTCCAGCATAGCTTCCTGTATGCAGGCAGACAAGTCCACAAGGTTCCCACCACCTGCTCATAGGAAACATGCCTTCCCTAGCATATGCAGTAAGGATTTTGGTCCTGATGCTGCAGGGGAGAGGATGGCACTGCTAAAGCCCTGAATGTCTTGAGGGTGAGAGCTGAGTCAATGCCTGGCCATGGGAGATAATGCCTGCAGCAAGGAGCCCATCCATGTGCCTCCCCCCGTGGTGCTGCTGATTTCCCTGTCCCATCTAGCTTGCTCAGTGTGGAGATGGGGTTGGGCAGCATTGCACTGAGAAATGCGCGAAACAGTCTAGCGCAGAAAGTGTTAGAGCCTCGCTCTGCTAGACTAGATGTGCCTGGGCTGGGAAGGGAGCAAAACAGGGGCCTGGACCTGTCGCGGCGAGTACAGCCAGTACCTTCTCCCACACAAGCAGCAGCCATGGCTGCTGCTTGTCAGGGCCTTGTTTGGGACCTTTCTGGAAGAGCTCTAGGACCACATTCTCTCCTGAGTGCACAAAACATCAGGTCTTCTCACTTCTGAGCAGATTGGGAAGCTTGCAGCATTGGAAGAGTCTGGCTAGAGCCTTTTGTGTTGCCCACTTGCGCTCTTCTCTGCTGGCAGGGGTGAGCTGCTCCCTGCCCCAGGGTCTAAGTGGGAGCAGGATGGCCAGGATTGTGCTGAAGGCAGCCCAGGTAGCAACCTCACAGGCAATGCAGTGGACGAGGGCAGGGCTGTGCAGGGGGCGGATGGTGCCCTGGAGCATGAGGTTGTTTGGCTTGTACTTTGTCACGTCCTGATTTGGCCCTGTGGGGAATCCCACACCACCTGTAGTTCTAACCCTTGGGGAGCAGCCATGGTGGCCAGCTGTGAAGGGACCCCTGCTTTTGCGTGAGCAGCCTGGCTGGTGCCCTCGCAGGAGTAAGCTGGCTCACCTACTCACCTATTTTGAGCCTTACAGGCTCTGAGGATTGTGCTGCCCTGCTGAGCTGGTGACGCGTGTGGGGCTGTGTGTGTTCCAGGCTCTGGGCTGCACCAGCCCCATCCCAGCCCAGCCGTGGGAGGAGAGGAAGTTGTCCGTGGTATTGCTGTGGAGAAGTTCGACATTGTCAAGAAATGGGGCATTAACACATACAAGGTGAGCTGCTTTCTGGGACCCTGAGGACGGCCTGGCTCATTGCAGAGGGATCAGGCCTTGCAGCAGGGCAAGCTGGAGTTGCAGGTGGGCCAAGTCCCTGCGCAAGGGATTGAAGGAGCAGCTCTTCGCAGCAGGGCAAGAGATGGGGAATGCATCTCAGGATCTCATTGCAGATTTCCCAGGGACAGGTCTGCAGTTCCCTGCTGCCCTAGGTAGCAGGGAGTGCTTCCTTCCCATCAGCCAAGAACACAGGCCCTCCTGACGTCTCCTCTCTCCACCCCGCAGTGTACCAAACAGCTCATCTCAGAGAGGTTTGGCCGGGGCTCCCGCACAGTGGACCTGGAGCTGGAGACGCAAATCGAGCTGCTCCGGGAGACAAAGCGCAAGTATGAGTGTGTGCTGCAGCTTGCGCGGGCTCTCACCAACCACTTCTACAGCCTGGTGCAGACACAGCATGCCCTGGGGGATGCCTTTGCGGACCTCAGCCAGAAGTCTCCTGAGCTGCAGGTATGCCCGCTGGGAAGATTGTGCCTGCCTTGTCTCTGCCTGTGCTGCAGTGTGCCTTCATCCTATGGGCAGGGTTAGCCCTGGGGTCTGCCCCACAGCCTGACCAGGTTCTCTGCTCAGCAGCACCCCCGCATGCATGAGGAAAGCAGGAGGGGGTTGAGGATAACTGCACTTGGTAGCCAGAGGGTAGGGGAGAGTGTGAATGACTGTCCCAGCACTTCTTTGGGTACGAGTGGCTGATTCTGAGTGCATGGGAGGAGAGAGCAGGGACAGCAGGCCTTGCCCAAACACAGACCCTGATTCATCTTCCTCCTTGTCTCAGGAGGAGTTTGGTTACAATGCAGAAACGCAGAAACTGCTCTGCAAGAATGGAGAAACACTACTGGGGGCAGTCAACTTCTTTGTCTCCAGCATCAACACACTGGTGAACAAGACCATGGAGGACACGCTCATGACAGTCAAACAGTACGAGACAGCCAGGTGAGAGGTACCTGGGGCAGAACTGCAGCACAGGCCATGACTAGGGTGGGGTGGGTTGGGGGGGGGGGGGGGGGGGGGCGGTTGTGGAGGGGTCACAGTGTAGTTCTGACTCTGTCCCTGCGCAGGCTGGAGTATGACGCGTACCGCACGGACCTGGAGGAGCTGAGCATGGGCCCACGGGACGCCAGCACCCTGTGCCGGCTGGATGCAGCCCAGAGCCAGTTCCAGAGCCACAAGGACAAGTATGAAAAGCTGCGTGCTGATGTGGCCATCAAGCTGAAGTTCCTGGAGGAGAACAAGGTGAGAAGGCACGTGGGGCTGGGAAGGTGCCATGGGGTGTGTAACAGGGGTCTGCCGTTTGCTCGTTTCCCTTGGCTATGTTGCTGTGGGCTGAGCAGCCTTGCAGCCTTGTGGCTGAAGTATGTGTTTGAGTGGACAGCGCCTGTGAGGCAACTGGGAGCCCAGAGGGGAAGGGCAGGTAAGCTTCCTTCTCTGCCTGCCTTTCACTTGTGGCTTCTGCTGAGTGGCCTTCTCCCAGCTTTCAAGGTTAGCTGTCAGGAGCTGTTGGCAGCAGCTCTGATTGCCTCCTTGTGTGCTGGGCGGAGGCAGTGTCCCTGCTCCCTGCCGCTTCCCACCATCCCTGGGTGCCAGACAGCAGGGCCGAGTCCCTGCACGCTGACTCCTCCTGCTTCCCCCAGATCAAGGTGATGCACAAGCAGCTGCTGCTCTTTCACAACGCCATCTCTGCCTACTTTGCTGGGAACCAGCAGCAGTTGGAGCAGACCCTCAAGCAGTTCAACATCAAGCTGAAGACCCCAGGTGCTGAGAAGCCCTCCTGGCTGGAGGAGCAGTGAGCCACCCCAGCCTGCCCCACCTTGTGCTCTGGACGGGGAAACCATGGACCTGAATTCTGACCTCTGACCGTTGGCGCAGGGCCAGACCGCGTACATGAGTGGTGAGCGGGGGACGCGGCCTCGGCCCTGCTGCAGCCCAGGAACCCACCTACAGGGCAAGGGGGGCCCTGGTTTGGGGGGAAATGGGAGGCTCTGAGCAGGTTCCTGGTGCTGCCTGGGGAGAGGAGCCTGGAAAGGCTGGGGTTCCCCCATCCTGCATCTCCTCTTTGGGGCAGAGTCCAACCCTGCCTATTTGCCCTCCCTTAGTACAGACCCCTCAGCGACACAGCCAGGAGCCCTCCCTATCTCCCCGGTACCTGAAGAGGTAGCAGACACCCTCCCTCTCTGGGGTGGGACACTCCAGACCCTGCCACACGCCTCTAGGGGATGGGGTGGGATGCTCCGCAGCTCTCCCACCTCACCTCCCCTTTGGGGAAGATGGGGTTTGATCCACATGTCCATGCCTGCTTCCCTTGCTGGGCTCTTTCCTGCTAGCCCATGATCTGACTCAGTGGGGGACTGAGCCAGGCCAGGAAAACCCCTGCCCTGTGGCAAAAATGTTTATTTTCAAATGAAGACGAGGCTACAGAGGGATGGCATCAGGACTCCTGGGTCCCGTCCCTGTTCCCCTGAGAGGGGGATGAGTTGTGGGTTCCAGCCTCGCTGTAGCTGGCAGCCAGGACTCCTGAGTTCCCTCCCCAGCTTTGGGTTTTCTCCATTTCCCTCCCTAGCTGATCTCTGGTGTTTCACAGGCAGCTGCAATTCAGCTGCTCTTGCACTCCGTCTGCCAACTAAGCTGGGGTGGTGGCTCCCCGCTCCAGCCTCACACTACACTCCCTTTGTGTGCGCAAGGCGAGGTGTGCCTGGCTGTCTCCCAGGCCCCAGTATTTCCATTTGCACTTCCCATGTCCTCTGGCCAGGGCAGTGCTCACCAGGTATGTGGGTGTCACTCGAGGCAGTGGCAAGTCTGCAGGGCTGGTCACTAGTTTACCGGAGAGGGGGCTCGGCACACTGCTGCTAGCGAGGTGTGGGGGGCTCATGGCTCGCTCTGGCCAGGATGTGGATCCTCCTTTCACCACCCCGACTGCTTGGGCCCTGAACGGTGGCCCTGCTTTTACCCAGCACCTGCAGGGACTCGACCCCTGGCATAGGAGCTGTGGGGACTCAAACCAAGGACCAAATGGTGGCTGTGTCCTGGGGCAGGTGCATGTGTGTGTTGAGAGGGGTTAGGGTGTGCGTGCCATGCACAACAGGGCTTGGGGTCTGGCCAGCATCCCACATGTGTGAGAGCTTCGTCCTGCTCCAGCTGATCGTTGCCTCTAGCCCTGGCCACATGCAGCACTTGGGCACTTTCTCCTAAGACGAAACAGTTTGTTTTTCTTGCTAATTTAATCCCTGGTAATTTAATGTCTGGATCTGACCCCCTCCCTTCCCCGGTGAAGGTCTGACCCCCTCTTCCCTCCCCACTTCTGTAAAGATTCCAGAATAAAACGGTACAAATCACCTGCACGTGTGGAGCTGTGGGCATGGGTAGCCCTGGGTGTGGGCCGTGCCACCCTGAGGTGGAAAAGGGTTGCTGGGGGGTGAGACTGGCGGCTCCTGATGGCCTCATACCAATCCTGCTGCAGGCTGGAGGTCAGGCCTTTGTGGTTGCCCTTCATGGGGCTTGAGCCAGGAGGGTCTGGGTGAGGCAGAAGTAGTGATGCCCTGAATACAGAGGGACATCCCATGGTGCCACGCACTCTCCCAGCCCAGCTGCAAGGGGCTGTGCTTCCACTTCCCAGAGGTTTCAGGCAGCCAGAATAACGGGCAGTTGATCCCCTCTCAGGCTTGCTGCCTCTGCTCCTCTCGGTGCCCTGCATGCTCTACACGCTGAGCAGGCGGCCAGAGATTGAACAGTGACCTGCCTGGCTTGATCCTGCTTTTGTGCAGCCTTGCCCGGATTAGCTTCCATATATAAAAAGGTGTCAGGCAGCTCATTGCTTCTCCAGCCTAATTCTGCTCTGCAGTGAGAACGTAACTGTCTGGAGCCAGCAGAAGAAGGTAATGACACAAGGACTTCTGCCAGCTCTCTCCAAAACGGAGTGGGGCACAGCCTGTGAAATAAACCTGATGCCAGACCAAAACAGGCAGGTTGCGCTTCAAAAGGTACGTAGCAGCTGTACAAGGCCTTGCTGCAGGACGTCACAGATAATCAAGATTTACATGGATTGAAAAAGGAACAGGATGAATGCGCAGAAGAAAATCCACCCGGAGATATTACATATGAAGAGTATCTCTGGCTATGGAGGCTGGGAGAGGGCCCTGGAGGAGACTCGCATGCTTACCCTAAAGTCTTTTATAGCCATCTTCTGCTGTTCACTGTCAGAAACAGGGTCCTGGGGGGGGGTGGGCCTCTGCTCTGATTCACCGCAGCCATTCTTATGTTCCCGAAGCAGCCGCAGGCGTTGGCATTTTGCTGCTATGGGTGATTCCACTGCCGAATGGGAAGTAGATAGGGGAGATATTGAGGAATGACCCCCAGGAGAGAGGGCTCTGAGATGGTATTCATTCCTCAGCGACTGGTGAGATGTGTGCTGCTCCCAGGCCCCCAAGGGCTCTCCAAGCGCTCCAAACGGGATACAGGAGAGTACAGCAGAGTGCCGAGGAGGGCAGAGGGGATTCTGCGGCCTCGGGCAGTTCCTAACAGCCGCTCTGGGGCTTTCACCCCTGACGAGCGACTTAGTCACGGATCAGACAGCTGCTAGGAGGGCATTTGAGCTGGACTTTGCTCCTGCAGGCAGATGGCTGATATATGCTTAGTTTATTTTAAAAAATAATCTGGCTAAGATGTAATTCCAGCCAAGTGCCTACATTCCCATAACAGGGGCCTCACGAGGGCAGGCCCAAGGTCTACAAAGTGCAGCAGCAGTAGTCCCTCGGAAGGAGGACAGGACGCAGGCTCGTGACCGGGGGTTCCTTCCAGCCGAGTCTCCTGGCTGTGGCGGGCTGGGGGCCGGCCCGAGGGTTTAGAGCTCCTTTCCTAGAGCCCTTGGGCTGCAGCCGCGTGTGAGCACGCGTCTGCCTCGGCTGAGTCCCACTGGGGATGGATGTGCCTGGGGCTGAGGCAGGAGGGAGGCAGCCCATGCTCAAGGGTGGCCCCGCGGTCCCCGTGGCCTAGGCTCTCCCTACTCTGAGGAATGCAACGGTTTGGGGCCAGGAATGGGGGGTGAACGTGACACAGGCTGGCAGTGCCCCATGGCCACTCCACAGCGTGGAGCGCCCTGGGGATCCCCACGACCACCCCATGGCGCGGCCTGCTCCAGGTCTCCCTACAGCCACCCCACAGCTCAGACTGCCCGGGGCTCCTCGTGGCCACCCCACAGCGCGGAGCGCCCCAGCCCGGGGGCCAGTTCCCCACAGGACACAGGGGCCACGAGGATCCCCCTCTGCTCCTCTGCCTGCCCTATGGCACAGGGCTGGGGGTCTGCAGGAGCTGTATGCCCAGGCCGTGGGGCTGGGGGCTGTGTGGGTTTATCCATGGGGCAGGCTGCAGTGGGACCAGGGGCTGCGGGGGCCGGCCGCGGTGGGGT